GAGGCCTGAAAGGCCTATGAAGCGGTATATAAGTCTACTGCTATTGCTATTGCTATTGGTCAAGGAATGTAATAAGGGTTAACACAAAATTTCATCGAAATCTGTGATAGTCGAGCGGAGCACTTTTCTGAAATCAGACCATTTGACATGGAATGACCCTAATGATTGTTTCTATCAAAATTCTTGATGTTATTTCAATAGGGCATCTTGATTCTTTCACTATCTTTTCACTACTTTCACTTGTTGGAAGAAATGTCCTTCTGGGTTTAGTTCCAAATGGGAAAAAAATACTGGGAACATGAAGGCTGCTTGGAAAGATGGTTTAATGGTGGACAGGATCACATGGCTTGAGCTCCTGAACAGAAAAGGGGATCACATGCTTTAAGATGTTGGGTGAAGAAGAAAAGAGACTGAGGTGCTAAAGTTCCTGGCTTTTTGCCCTCTCTGGCCTTTGATCTTGATCTTGTATTCTGATTGGTTGTCAGACTCCCATGGGGCCATGCAGGGGCAGCTCTTTAGGCTGCGCTTTGAGTCCAAGTTTGATTGCCTTACTGATTGATGTAATTTTCCCAAGTGCCTTGTGGTGAGTTTCTGTAGAAAGTGAATCCTACTTTTGTTATGTAGAGTAGACTAGCTCAGGCTTTTTAATGGCCCATTGACAAAGGTGGGGGCTATTAAGAATGAATCTATTTCCCGCTAAAAACTTGTTTCTCCATTTCTTATCCAGGGAAATATGATATTCTGCCTTTTCAATATTTTCCAGGATATTTCATTTTTCTAGGAGAGGGGTGGGTTTTTCAACTTTCTACACACTAGTGAAAAGATAATTAAAAAATGGCTCACTAGAATGGCATCTAAATAGCTTTCACTATTTTCCTCCTGTTGAGGGTGAGGCATATTTATCCAGTCCAAACTCCATTGCAATATCTTCAATGTATATATAGACAGTGTTGACCAGTGATTCTATTTCAGATGAATTTTTCCATACAACTTCAGATCTTCCCTGTAAAGGAAGTAAGATAGCCTGGCAAATGTTTCTGATGTTTCATGGCCATGGCCTTATTTGTTCAGTATTGTTGACAAAGAACCAGGAAATGATAAATAGTAAGAACAATACAAACAGTAGCAGTGATAATGCATCTCCTTGAAACATTCCTCTCTTGATATTAACCTCTCTTGGTCTATCACCATTGACCAGCAACTAGATGCTGTTTAATTGCATCAACTACATCAGTTAGCAATTTGAAATTTGAAAGTTGTTGGTAAGCAGGTAATTGGCCTATAGATGTCTAATGCTGGATCTTTTATTATCAGGTAAGTTTTGCCAGATGTTAACCAATATTTAATTTCACCTCCTTAATGATAATGATTATTAATTTATTACTATGGTTCATTGCATGGTCAGTCAGGTGTTCAGGCTGGATTTGATATTTTTATCTACCTATGAAATCCTTCCCAAGGACATGGGATAGGCCGGTGATGGCGAACCTATGGCACACGCCACAGGTGGCACGTGGAGGCCTCTCTGCCAGCACACGAGCCATCACCCCAGCTGAGCTCTACTGTGCATGCACGTGCGCCTCTTGCCAGCCAGCTGATTTTTGGGTCTCTGTAGACTGTGTTATTTAATCAAAATGCAGTTAAAACACTATGCAAGAAATTGAGAATATACATCCAACAGGAACAGGAAGTGCCTCACAGGACCAGATAGAGGTAAATCCTAGAGAGGCAAGAAATGCATCACTGAACAATGGAGATGAATGCTAGAGAGGAATAAAACTGCATACAAGGCAGACATAACATCTGTGACAGTGTAGGCCTGCAGGGGGGATCATGCACACATAATATGGGTGTGGGCACACACACACACACACACGCTGTCATGCATGTACACGTGCTTTTGGCATGCGAGGACAAAAAATTTAGCCATCACTGGGATAGGCAGATGTTGATGTTTGATGGTGTTAAAGGTATCATTGCAGGATGTAAGATGTTTCAAGTAAAGGTGTGTTTTGCAACTGACTAGAACGTTTTCTCATTTTATATCATTTTGTTTGTTCCAGTGAAGATATCCCATTATGTTTTTAAGGGATTAAACTGTAATTGATTTTATAATTCTTGAAATAATTACATTATGAAAGTATATTCCTCTGCTTAATTTCATGAATTATTCCAATAAACTTTCAGTAATTTAATTAGGGTAGATTCCTCAGTTCTTATTTCTGGTTAAAAGTTTTTTCTTTATCTCCCCATTGTTTTAATAACATGAAAATGTTTAATAACATTTGTAGCATACAAACAAAAGTTAATTGTTAGATTTGTGGCTCTGTAGAGTATTTTCCCAGCATAGACTCACACATCTACTTTGTGGGAGGAGAGACAAAAGTCTCTGATAGTGGATTACTTGCAGTTAATTTTGACCAGAGATCTTTCTTACTCAATTATTTCACAATATTTTCAACATATTCTCATTATATAGCTTTACTATGGAAATTTTTAACAAGATTTTCTATTTTATAGACCTTTACTGTTCATATGAGTATACATATTTGGCAGTTTCATGTTCCATCTTGTGCTGCATAAGTGTGATTCTGTCTCATGGTACTGAAGAATTCCCCTGCCTAGAATGATACTTTACAAATTACGTATAGACTCAGTGATTGGATATTTATGACTAAGAAGACACAAACAATGCATTCAAGCTGGAATCTTAAATACACTTATTAAGAGATAAGCACCATTTCCAGCTATAGGACTGTTCTCCAAGAACATAAAATGTATTGCATAACCAAAGGATACACAGTGGAATTTTATGTGACTATTTAAAATCTTAGCAAGATTATAAACTACAGGACTATTTATTTACTGCCTAGTGGAATTGTAGTGGTTTTGATAGTACCATTGGTGTGATTGTCTAGTTAATCTGGTTAAAGAGGGAAGAATTCTTAAAGTCTTTTCAATTAAGCAGTTTACTTTGTATTATTACCTCATATTCCAGTGTCTTACAAAATATAAAACTAGTCACAATAAACATAAACTAACATCCTAAAAGCAGCAGTAAAAACTTTTTAATAAAAACCCTCAAAAGCAAAATTAACAGGAAATAAATATTTTGGTTTGAAAGGGAAAGAAGAAATTATTAAACCTTAAGCTTCTCTGTGCAGTCCTTTCAGCGACATACGCAGGCTGATTCAATGTTTCTTTACTCAGAAGTCTCTAGGAAGCTTTATACACAAATACACTCTTTCCCTCGGTTAGCACATTTCTCCTGCGCTCTTTATTATAAATAATTATTTCTCAAACACATACACGTTTTACTTTACTCATCCACTGTGACTGAATTTCAGGAACCCCCCCAGCAACAATCGTGATTTTGGGAATTCTCAAAGTAAATCTCAAGCAGGGCCATAGCTTATTTCAGAAACAGATCTCTTGAGCATTATGTTACCCTTACACATGGATTCGCTGTTCTTTTTGTGCTGGCTTTTTAAAAAAAGAATAACATAACTACTCCCTGCCGATTATTTTCTCGCTTGTTTCAAGCTCTCGCATGTGCCAGCCGGGGCCATCTACAGCGCACCTCGGTGGAGACCGCACGAGTTGGAACAGCCAACAAGCTGGGACGAGCTCCTAGTGCTTGTCAGACAGTTCGAATGCCCTATCAGCGAAGGGAATGGGCGGGGCTAACTAGCGGAAATCCAATAGCAGCAGACCCCCTGTACCTGTGCGGTTATAAAAACTCTGCGTGGCTTCCCTCACTTCGCTTCCACAGTATGGCCGGCGACATTAGCTAGCGCTCGCTCAATGCTTTTCTCTGTAACGGGAACACACGGAATACAAGGAACCGAACCGCACCGCATCGCCTGCACGCTTGCCTGCTCCGCACTTCTTGCCTTCCATTTCCCTCCTTCCCCTACCCCAAAGGATCCTTAACAACCCGCCACCCTTTCTGCAACCGCTCGCTGGTATATATTTTATATATGAGCGCGCGCGCCCGCACACACACATGCATGTATTTCATCTTATAACTTAATATAAGATTACTGCCCCTTCCAAGATAAAACCTGCTTGGGACGGGCTCAGACCCCAAGAAGGCGCCGCGGCCCTGCCTAGAAGCAACAGTCCTATCAGCTGTAGCTGGTGTAGGTGAGGGCGGCGGCGACAGCAGCAGATTTTGGTCGGTGGGGGGGGGGTGTCGTTTTAATTTCTGTGGTTGGTTTTGCGGAGTTGTCTCACCATGATGGAGGAGAACGGTGCACACTTCTTCGAAGGGACTGAGAAGCTACTGGAGGTGTGGTTCGCCTGGCAACAGCCCTCGCCGCAGGAGCCGCACCAAAGTAATGGCTCCGGCGACCTCCGCACCATTCCCAGGTGAGTCAGGAGCCGGTGGGAAACGGGGAGGATGGAAGAACATGGAGGGGGTTAGCCGGGTGAGTGCGGGAATATGCCCGGCCGGTGGCGCGCATGCCCTGGTGAACAGCGGCCGTCACGCCGCACCGCTGGGCGGGAAGCGAGCTAAGCTAATGGCCGGGGAAGAGGGGCGGGCATGGCGGCTGCTCCATTCAGGACGGTGTTAAGCTGCGCGAGGCGAGGGAGGGTCGGGGTCCGCCTGCTCCGAGGGGAGGGGAGGGACTTTCACCGGGACGGCCTTGCTGGGGGTGGGGGGAGAACGCGAGCCGGCCCCTTCAAGTAACGGCCGCTAACGTTCCCCTGACGCATGCAGGCCCGGACTCCGCGTGCGGCGGCTGACGGCAGGCCTTTTAAGTTCCCCCCGTAGGCCGGCGCTCTGAGGGAAACTTAAACAGAAGAGTAGTTCACGTCGGGAAGGGCGGAGTTGTGACCTTGCTAGGGCGGGATGTGACCTTTTCGTGGCTGTCCTTTTAAATTAAACCAGGCCTCGGAGATTGCCGGTCGTCGCCTCTCTTCACCCCCTCCCTCCGGAATATATTCATTTGCAATGCACGGCGAGCTTTCACCTTATTTATTTGGCTTTGCGCTCCTTAACAACGGATTGTGAACATAAGTTCTTGTCTTAGGCAAAAGGGGGGTGTTTGATCCCGTGGGAAGGTCCGGGGGCCACCGGGATTCTCGCAGTGCTTCATACGAACCGAACGGGTAAACTGCTTGTTGGTATAAGAACTCGACGAATCCTACCAAGTTGGCCATCACAAGTGGGCGGGCAGGGCATCCACGGACATCCCTGCACCAGCATGTTCTTGGGTGCTTGGCTTGCAGACTCGTAAAGAGACTGAGTGCTTTTTCTCTGAAATTGGCTCAAGCTTAGTTATCTGATTCTTGACCGCAACTCTTCTGCCAAAGTGTCGGAAGTAGAGAAAGAAGTTTCTACTGCTTTTTCTGGTCTCTTCCAAGTACAGTAAAATAACAACAACAACAATAATAATAATAATGATGATGATGATGATGATGATGATGGAAGCTGTTGAGGAAACTGGCAAGGATATTTTTGTAGGATTTATGGTTTGTTTGTTTTGCCCCTTAAAGAGTTAGCAAGAGCATGACTGTGGCTGGGAGCGGGAGGTTTTATGTATGCATTTATTTGTCCTTCTGGAATTCAGGCAATGCAGTGGGATAGATAGAAGCCCCTCCTGTGTTTAACTCAATTTTCATCCTTTTTTAAAAAAAATAGGCTTCAATCTCAAACTCCAGATAAAAAAAGGCTGTCCTCAGTTAATGAGATCAAGCATTACTTTTTAGTGTTACTTTAAGAGGTTGGGTCTGGGACTGTCATCTAGTGGGCATTTCAGGAATGTGGAGGAGGCGCCAACTTCTCAATAGTCATGGGGGAAGGGTTGCATTCTGTACAGCCTTAAATGCACACTAATAGTACTAGTATTTTACTTGCACTGCACGTACAAAATAATAGTTTGAATTTGCTCCAGTAGAATTTAGGCATTTGAAAATAACAATGCCTAGTCTATATGTTTTTGAATGAGCTACATTTAGCAGAGAATAATTAAAGGTAAATGGAATAATGTACCCTTTCTGTGTATGTTTATTCTCATTCTCTAATAATGTACTGCTAATGTGCTAAGAACGTCAAATAAATGATAGTTGGAATAGGAAGAAAATTGTAAAAATTGATATCTGTACTCAGCTTTATGTAACTTTATGCATTTGTAGTGAACTGCAGGAGTTACTCTGCCAATAAATTACCTTTGTGAAGTCTCTCTCAATAATTAGTGCACTTTAACTTCAGATTTTTTCTGAAAACAAAAAATGTCAATTTAGAAGGCCATGTCAAATCCTATTGGATAAGAGTTGCATTATGAATCAATTTGCCTACTGTGCAAAAATATAAACAGTAATTATTGGGTTCGTATATTTCTGACTTCAAATTACGTTATGCCTATATATACCAAATATGTAGTAGCATAATTTAGTTTTATATTGTTTGAATTAATCCATTACAGATTTAATGGTTTTGTAATATATTTCATGCAGATCCATTTTTAACTAAATTGGTTGTTTCACCTGATGAACAAACTGGCTTATGATTTGTACTGTTCATTTTGTAATGCCAAATCTATAAATAGCAAAATATAAGAAACTGAATAGTTACAAGTACCTAGACTGGATGTCTAATTATGTTTTATTCCCTTTCCTCACAATATTAATATCAAGCTTTCCCCTTGTCTAAATTTGTCCTTGAAATTGTTTGTTTATGTGGTAAGTTCGGGTAAGAAATTACTGATACATATCACCTATGATCTTGATCATACAGCATGGAATGTTAAATACCAGTGTGCCCATTCAATTGTTCTGGTAAATGTTTAATTATTAAGTTACTCTGAATTTATCCATTTATTTTTCTATGGATGGCAACTGTCTGTTTCTCTATAAACAATTATTCATGAAGTATGTCAATAGCTACTCTGATAGTTTCAATAATACCCCAAATACTACTACAGGAATTATTTAAATGTATGATGCGTGATAGACCCAAATTACATAAAAGAAATTCTATAATGTAAAATACACTATAGCATATATCGTAAAAGTCTGAACTTGTGTTTAGACTACTGTCATCAATACATTAATTCTGTATACTAGTTTTTGACAGCATGAGTTTCCCTGGAATTTATTATATGCCGAAAGATACTGTACATAGAATTTGTTTGTCCAATCTGGAAATGGGCGAAGAAGATGCCTTAATAGCTTATTACAAATGTCTTAGTAAAAATTACAGTAAAGCAGAGCATGACCCTGTAATTCAGTACTCCCATCTTTATAAGGACAAAGCTTTCCACCATGTGGAATTTTGCAGTATTTATTCTCCAACACTGCTGACAGCAAGATATTAAACTCAGCTAGTGTGAAGGCCCTCTGAAACACATGTTGATCTATACATAATGTTAGCTTGAAATAAAATTTCCTTTGACCCAGCTAAGCTCTGATCATGTTAATAGATGGGTAATAAAATGTCTGCAAGCAAATAAGCGAGCTCAGAGATCACAAAGGACTCCATATGAAATGCCCTTTCTTTGAAAACATCCATTGCCTGATCTTTTCCCTAGACATCCACTCCTCTCTTGAACTAAGAAAAATGTATAAATCACACAAAATATGGCTAATATTCATAAATTGATTTACTACATTAAGTATTGTATTTGCTTCCAAATTTGGGTGGGCTTATAAAACTGAGGAAAGGAAAACATGACATCCAATAAATCAAAGTAAAACTAAGGTAAATATAAAATTGAGAATAACATTTTTGCTTTCACTATTCTCCTGAATCAAGGAGGGAGCCATTTTGATATCCGTTGGAGATTGTTCCACAGGACTGGCACTATTACTAAACAGCAACACCTTTGGTTTTAGTTCTCTTCTTTAAGGAGGGTGGAGAGTAAGAGCAGGTCTATTCAAGTTGGAGTAATCAGTCTTCTAGATACCGAAATGCCAAGCCATAAAATGATTTGCAGGTTAAAATCAACATTTTAAATCGCATCCAGAAATCAATTGGTAGCCGCCCCAAAGTTCATAGCACTTGGCATGCTGAAATTATCCTGAAACGTTTCTGATATGAAATACATCAAAATAAAAATGTTCTATGCACTCCAGTCCTGAATTACTCAATCCTTTTTTAAGACAGGCTGCAACCATAAAATAGTTTCCACATAAGAATAACAAACACCCTCTCATACTATTATGAACAGATGTCCTAACTTTCAGAAATGGATGATAGATATATCCAATCTTGGTTAGATATAATATATACATTTTTCCATATATTTTAGAGTTAGAGAATCTATGGCTCTCCGGGATGGCAAGTGATGAATACTGTTGGACTTGGCAGCAGTGAAATGGCTATCATTTCATATTTCTGGGCAGTTTGATACTAATCCAGGAGTTTCCACACAATACATTGTCCTCCTTTTTTAAAGACCCTGGTATGGATTATAAATTGCCTAGTCTGAGATATTAGATGTTATCCCTATCTCTATTGTTTCCTGAGCAAACTTAAGGAGCATGATATCTTCTTGTTTTGCAAGCTTCAACTGCTGAAGCAAGAATGTGCTTCAGCAGTCAGTTTTGAAAACACACAGCTCTTCTGTAAGATTGTAGTGACTGAAGCTATTGAGTCAGCCAAAATTATGTAGACCTTTAAACAGTACTGTAGCTCCTGCCAAGAAAATATAGATAGGGCTGCCATTTCCTATGAGTTGGTCATTATTTAAAGGAGGACCATAAGGGTGTGCAAAACATTTCATGCATAGACCAAATCCAAATAATGAAAGTATTCTGTAATTTAGTTCAGCCAAACTATGCCCCATCTGAAAGAGTCAGATGAACATTAAGACACAATGTATTTGTTTGGCATATTAAACAAAGTACATTTTCTAGTTTGTGCACACCTCTAGAAGAGTAGGGTGAGCCAGTTTAATACAAGAGGGAAATATACAGGCCTGTGCAACAATATACGGTCTTTGGTATAAGAGAACTCTGTTGTTTTCCTGTGTACAACCACCAGGAAGTATACGGTTTAATCCTATAAAATCAATCAAAGGATTAGTATTCTATCTGACAACTTAGTTTATCCTCAGTTCTATCTTAAGATAATGACAGAAGTATTTGGCTTGCTGTGAAGTGAACAGGCTTGGCATATGTGCATGGAATGGTTGTTGGGGATTTGAAAGTATTCACGAGAATTATATAAGGGGTTTTTCACCTAATTCTAAGGAAATAAGAATTATTCCAGAGTGTATTTTTTATTTATATCCCTTTATTAATTTTATAAATAACTCAAGGCATCACGTTATTTTTATAAATAATTCAAGGGGTACCTAATACCCTTTCTCTTCCTATTTCCCCCACAACAACAATCCTATTAGGTGGGTTGGCAAAGAAAGAGTGACTGGTCCAGATAGTTTGAACAATATGATCTACCTAGTGCAATGTCACAATATACTTGAACAAATATTCAAATTTCAAGAGTGTAATATGTGATTAACTGAATACTGTAATGTCTTTATATTTTATAGTCTATATAATATCTATTTAAGTTTTACATTTAAATAAACTACACATTTTTCTCCTTTGTAGTCATGAACTATGGTGGTGACATCAAACTCTATAACGTAGTTTAGATTTACTGTGAGTGCCTAAAGCTTTGACACTTGTTTACTAGTATCAGAGGGTATTAGACAGGGTCAAAACTAGACATTAAATTTGGTTTATAAGAAATATGCAGTATTTCAGCTTGCCAATTTCAGGAGAATAAAATTATTTCCAAGAAGTAATATGAATTGCCAAGAATACATAAGAAATTCAAGTAAGTTTACAAATTCAAATAGTAATTTCTGACTTCCCACCATGTTATTGCTTTTATGTCATTCTTAAACATAAGTTTTTAAATAAGTAAAATAATGAGAAAGATAATTATATTATTTCAGCTAAACTATAGATATTGTACAATAGTTTGCACATTATGTTAAGTTTCCTTTTTTGATATTGAAATGTAGATTGACATTTTGTGATAGTACAAAGTGCTATCTTATTTTAAAAAATGATGAAATTCACCCAATTCCTTTATTGTATTCCTTTTGGCAGGTTTGAGTGGGACAAACTTCTGGAGAATGTGCATTGTTTGATCATAAGTGTGACAAAAACTGACAAGCAGGAAGCTTATGTACTCAGGTAAGTAAATAAAATTCCTGTACACGATGCATGGTCTTGTTTTTAATGTATTACAGTTTTACATAAATATTAATTTACTTGCTACAAAAGTATAAAGTGATGTGCAATGTACAAGTAGTCCTCAATTTAACAACCATTCATTTAGTGACTGACACTGAGGAATATTAGTTGCTCAGTTAGCCTTCCTGACTAACTGGCTAGGATGTGATTAATCCCATTGTGTTAATTAATATTTTCATATTGATGGGAAGTGTTCCTCTGCCTCAAACAGGTAAGTTATAAGAACATTATTGAAGAGATCATTATGCTATGCAGTTTTAAGGCAGCTAATTTTTTTGGTTTATGGAGAAAGTGGCTGAAAAGTAACAGTGCAACTTCTGACACATCTGGTTAATACTGTTCACACCCATTTTTAAACAGCTTTTGGCAAGGATATACAGAGGTTAAGATTGTTGCCTTAAATGATAATCCCTGGTGGAAATGGATATAGGTTATTGGACTGGGGAAATATAGCCTAAGTACTTTACCTAGATTTTTGTACAACTTCTAGTAACATTTAACACTGAATTTATCTCAACTTTTTTGATTGTAATGTGTCTTGGGGATCCCCAACCCTTACGCTCAGAAAATGTCAGAAAATATGGTGCTGGGGAACTACTAACCAGTGTATAATGTCCCACAGCTTTTCATTTTGTCCCACAAAATCTACCTGATAATTGAGATAGGTGGGACTCATGGAGATTTAAAGTAGGACTCTTGACTTTATCATCCATTTCTAAGGAGTAATACTGTTAAATCCTGAATGAGTTCAGTAGTGATCTACATGAGGAACAATTCAATGAGCTTAAATATAAAGAGTGTTGATTATTGGATTTAATTCTTCAGTCCTTGAGGACTGAGGTTCAACCTGTTCTGGAGACGTTTGGTGACAGTGAAAGTTCTGTGCTAGTTAGCAGTATATTTTAAGGAATTTGCACTGAGTTTTCAAATTCTATATAGCTTAGGACTGGACTATTTCAGAAATTGTTTTTTTGTTTTAAAAAAAAGCAATTAAACTTGTCTGACAAGTAAGAGCTAGAGAATATGCCCTTTTGAAACTATTCCACTATTGGAGGCTTACTTATTTGGCAGAAAGAAAGGTGATTCTCTACATAGCTCCCAGCCTATAGTAAAACCTCATTTTTACAGGTTCCCAAACAGTATAAACATATTCCTCGAATGTACAACCATAATTTTTCAAAATTATTTTTGAAAATGGGATTGGGAATGAATTTTCAATATCAAACTGTAATAGAAACAAATATCTTAATCTTGAAACATTAATCTTAATTTTAAAATGAATATTTAATACTGATTGATTTAAATATTAATTTGATAAATTAATATTTTAATAAAGCTTTGACATAGAAAACTATTAAAATAATGTTGGAAGTGTTTTTTGACTGTGCCAATGCAGTTTGAAAAAAATGATCATTAAGTATTTGTCCACAAGTTATAAATGGGGTGCTTTTAGGAACCCTCCCCTCCAATTGTGAAAAGTATTTACTGTACTGCTTATAATATAATGACTAGTTAAGGAAGCACTTTTTTTTTCCTGAACTCTGACCTATATTATAATGGAGTCTATGAAGTGATTCTATCTACAAGATAGGATTACTTCATATAACATGGAAGGGAACATTTTCTATTGCAAATGTCTATGGAGATTCTCAATCATCCAAGTCATGGTTATTCCATATGCGCTTTTCAAAAGGCAACTGGACTTTTTTGGGTTTTTTTCCTTGAAAACATTTTGCTTCTCATCCAAGGACCTTTTCAGTTCTCTTCAAGGAGTTTTAAGATCTATAGGAAGTGCCACCTTAGGGAAATTTCAAATTGAAGAACAAGTTAGGAGTACTGCTTTCCCATATGTCACATTCATTTTTCCTCTATGTTTATGTCTCTCTTTAAAATTTTATTTTGGTTAACATGATAAAGTGCTTTGTCCACAATACCTGTTATTACAGAAGTATGTTTCAAAATCAGCCATATCTATGAAAGGATGTCCTTGAATTTATTGTGTTATAACCTGCTGTTCCTCCAAAAAGTTCAAGGTGGATTACATGGGGTTTTCCTTAATGTTATCTCAGTAACTATTATCAAATAGATTCAGTTGAATTAATTAATAGCCTAAGAGTTCCATGGTTAAATAAGGATTCAAACTTGGTTTAATACTGTAACCATTAATCACAATTCTGATTCTAATATTTACTCCAATACCTGTATTTTGAAATCTCTTTTAATACACTGTGACATATTTCCTTACCTCAGAATTAAATAAGACTTAACCTGTCTAATCAGAGTTGCCCAATTGGGTGTGGAAGGGTCAAAAGGGACAAATGATGAAAGCAGCATCACTGCAGCATAATGCAAGTTGGACTTTTTTAATGTGTTGCATGCATTTTGCATATCTAAAAGTAGGCAGTTTATATCAGAACAACACTGGGCTACTTTTGTTATTTTGATGAAAGCATCAAAGCCTGCAAGGAACTTCTTACTCTAGAAAAAAAGGAAAGGAGTCATGTTGCACCCTTTATACAAAGAGTTCTATTATTAGATTTAAATCAAATCAAATCTACTTGATTTAAAGCCCAGTATATGAGATGAGCCTTTTCATACCTACAGAATTCTTAAAGGAACAGAGATCTGTATTAACTAAGCCAAGTTTTTTGTGTCTCTAATTCCTAAGCACTTAGACATTTTAAGGGACTTCTATCAAATAGATTTGGAATTTAAAAAATCTGTACATATATGAAATATATTAATTATATCTTTGTATTTTTCAGTGAGAGTAGCATGTTTGTCTCCAAGAGACGTTTCATTTTGAAGACATGTGGTACCACCCTCTTACTGCAGGCACTGGTTCCCCTATTAGAGCTTGCTAGAGAGTACTGTGGGTTTGACTCAATTCAGGTAAGAAAACAAAACAAAATTCTGAGAGATCTTTGGAGTTAACTATCAATTATATATTAAATAGTATATTGACTTATTTCTTGGTATATATTTATGAAATATATCAGTAGTAAATGCTGAGCATCTAATAGTAATTTATTATTGTACAATATTGCACAAGAAATGTTTTTCAAATTAATTACCCTAATATTTCTGGGATTTTCATATCTCACTCATATGAGATGGTCTTTCTTGCACTATATATTATCTTGCCTCAACTCTTGTAGTGCTCTGCCACTCATGAATGGTCATCTTAAGGTTGCTGAGTTTATGCAGAAAGAGTTTTTACACTTAAACACTTTTCAGTGAAGTATCAGTGCTTCTGGGATCTTGGATTGGCGAGAGTCTCAACACAAAGCCCGCAAAGATAGCTGCTTTTAGGATGACATACAGTACAAAACCATTGATTATTATTGTTAATAATTTTATTGGTGACAAATGACCAATTTGCCCAATATTTTTTTTGAAAGTTTTAAAAGTTATTTTACCCCACATCTGACTTATAAAATGCATCCCTCCACAGTATGGCTTTTGACTAATACGGCTATCAAAAGTTCTCTGAGATAGCTCATCTTCATAAAAATGGAATGGATAGATTCAGATTTTTTTGTTTGACTTAAGTTGGGGGCAGCAGGAGTAAAAAATAACATTTTCTTGAAAATGTTGAATAAAAATGCCATACCTGTAAGACATAAGATATCAACTTCTAAGTGGCAGCACAGACTTAATAAGATAATCTATATTCATAGTAAAGATGAAATAAGGATCCTGCCTCAAACAGGCTGGCTTTAAATGATGCCATCTTAAGGTGGGGGATATTCAACTGATGCTATTGGAGGCTTCAGTATGAGGTTTGCAAAATGGTCAGGAGAAGGAAAGATCTAAGAGCACTTCCTTAAGCTAATTGGCATATATTTTATTAAAGTTCTTGATTCTCCTTTTCTATATTCCTGCTGAAACTGCATGCAAATGCTTGTAAGAACATTTTTCATATCCAACTGTATCCTTACGTACTTCCTGACTAAAAAAATCCACTTGAAAAAATGCCAATTATGTGTGTGTGTGTGTGTGTGTGTGTGTGTGTGTGTGTGTATGTACAGCTGTGTGAAAAAGTCCGGCATGCTTTCAGTTTTAAGCTGTATTTACATGTTTAATCAACTTTTCATTCATAGAAACCACTCAGAATTAGTACTTTGATGAAAATTTCTGTGGTCAGATTGAGATGCATAATTTTTATTAAATATAACCAAAGTCTTTTTAAGGTTTTGAGTGAGTTTATGTGCTAAAATAAATACAACTTCAATTTTTGATAATGTTAGGATCGAAAGTAGCCAATCAGCAGCGAACTTTGATTGACCAATCAAAATGCAGAGAGGCTAAATCTATGAACCAATCAATGTTGTCATACTCTCTGACTATAAATAGGCATGAAAAGCATCGAGAAATTTAATTTAACTCTGGCTGCAGGCAAGGATGAAGGTCTTTGTTTTCACCAGTACTGAGCAGCGGCATCGCATCATTGTGCTTCATGAAGAGGGTTACTCCTGTACAGAAATAGCCAAGAGAGTGAAATACCATCGCACTACAGTGAGCAGAGTGGTTGAAAAATATCAAATAACTGGTTCAGTTGATGGGAGGCTCCGCTCTGGAAGACCAAGAAAGTCAACAAAACAGCAAGATCGGGCTCTGCAACGCATTTCGATGGCTGACAAGAAGTTCACCTCACCTCAGATTACAAGAATTTGGGGTAAAACATATGATGTAAAAGTGTACACAAACACAGTGCATTGCAGACTGCTTGCCAGAGGGCTCAAAGGCTGCAGGGCTCGAAGTAAACCTTTGCTCACAGATGCTCACGGCTCTTGTCGACGTACATGGGTCAAGAAGTATGCCAAGTGGACCAACGAACAGTGGGCCAAGATCATCTTCAGTGACGAGAGCAATTTCTACTTGACTGGGAATCAGTGCAATGAGTATGTCAGAAGATTTCCAGCTGAAGAATTTAGGCCATACTGCCTGAATCTATCAGAGAAGCATCCATTGCACCTGATGATTTGGGGCTGTATCACTGCTTCTGTTATTGGTCCAATACAAATCGTGCAGGGAATCATGAATTCCAAGCAATATGTTGAAGTCCTGGAAAAGACCTTCAGCTCAGTAACTTATAGGGAAGGACTTTTACTTCCAGGATGACAACACTCCTTGTCATCGAGCCAAGTCCATCCAGCAGTGGATGAAGAAGCATGGTGTTCGACTCCTGGTTTGGCCAGCTCAGAGCCCGGATTTGAACCCAATTGAGAACTTGTGGGCCAAGATTGGTTACGAAATAAGCAAGAAGCATCCAAAGACCAAGCAGGAGCTGATTGACTCCATTATTGCAGCCTGGAACCATATTGACACCAAAGATCATGTGCAAAGGCTTATACAGTCTATGCTGAAGCGATGCCACCTGGTGATAAGCAATAAGGGCTGGCCAATTTCATATTAGTAACCATGTTTGGTTACTTAAACAATCCTTTTCAGGGCCACAAACAATAAAAATATTAACAAAACACTAGCATCGGCCTTAGTAATTGCAACACATATGCCACTGGGTATGCATCAGTTAATCTGTTTTCATAGTCATTGTAAGCATATATTGTACGCATGCAAGAAAATTCACAACTCCATCCAAAATCAATGGCCTATCCAAAAAATGTCGTAAACCTTAAAGCGTGCAGGACTTTTTCACGTGTGTGTGTGCGTGCATACTGTATATTCTTAAATATCAGTTCGGTTCTTCATTATACAAATATAATGCAGCAATCATTTTGAAGTTTTATAATAACAAAATAGATTATCCTGATTTGAAGAAAAAAATATAAAGACTTGCTATTTCAGAGTTATTTACCGTTCAAGTATGTATATCCATCCTAGTCCTCTACCTTCTCTGGTTTTAAGTCAATATAAACCACGCTGCTGTGCCAAGCAGAGCTTGTGTTTTTGTCTCTTTAGCGTCTTCATTTGCCATAACAGGAATATTGGGGATGGGGAATAGTATGTGAGGTAATTTTCAGGTAATTTTAATGCATAAATTCGTTAAAAAATAAAAATAGTATATAATTGAAAAATTTGGTCCAGATGAAAATAAATGTTATTCCAAAGATGCCACTTTTTAATATTTATACTCCCCCTTGGAATTTTTTATGTAGCAAATTACATTGTTTATGAATTTCCAAGAGATTACTGCATTAATTTATTTAAGTATAGATGCATGTCTGTATATGCATACAGTGGTAACACCTTACACAGTAGATAATTTCTTTTTATACAAGGATGAAATTGAGGAAAACCTATTTATTTTATTTTAACTCTTGGTTCCTCAGAGCTTCTTCTATTCACGTAAAAATTTCATGAAGCCTTCCCACCAAGAGTACCCACATAGGAATTTCCAGGAAGAAGTAGAGTTCCTTAATGAAATATTTCCAAGTAAGCAAATATATTAATATCTCTTCAATAAGTATAAATGCATTGTTATCTCTTCAATTTACAATATTGTAAGTAAAATCTGGCAATTCAGAATGTTTATGCATAGGAGACTGTTCAAATTAGTCATGATTTCAAGGCTAAACTGACTGAAAGATATAATAAAAATAATAAAGCAGAAGATTGCTCTGTCAACAGTATTTTATTTTATTTAACTTTTTCAAAACAATTATCCATGAAGATTTTTATATGTGCGACATTGATGTGTTTACTATCTGTTTATGATACTAAGAATGAAAGTGCTATTTGTAACTGAAGCCTAATTTAATACACCGTCAGACCTTGATATGTAATAGATTTATATGCTAACATTTATGGAGCATACACTTTGTTGAAATACTGGAGATTCTTCTACTTAGTATAGAAAATAGTTGTGCAGTTAAAAAAATAGAGGTGCATTATTTGATTCTGAAGCGGCAAAAGGTGCTTTGGATCCAACATGAGCATGCTGTGTACCTGTTGGTTTCTTAAAGAAGCTGTTTACTTAAGGAAAGATATAATTTCTTTAAGGAACCATTGAGAGGCTGAGTAAATATATCCACACCAGACCCAAAGTACATTTTCTGCTTTGGAAGAAAATATTGTACACCTGTAAAAAGAAACTATGGGCTACTTTCTATAATATAATAACTACAGTAAATTACTTTCATACTAATAAAATGGAATGGCTATATATATTTTTCTTCACAATATACTTTTCTTTTTCTTCCTAGTGTTTCTCCCAATTGCAGGTCCACTTCTTTTCTCTTCTCTTTCTTATCTATCAAATGTCAATCTACTGTTTACAAGAGGAAATAACTGACCAGCTTGTAACCCATCCTGACAAGATGGCTGAGAGAAAATGATTAGCCCAAAGTTAGCCACCCAGCTTTCATGCCTAAAGCAGGACTAGAACTCATAAATCCCCTTGTTTCTAGCCCTAGTCTTAACCACTATATACTGCAGTAGTAAATAAATAGGAAAAAATATTGACAAAAAAGATGTAATAATAAATATATAAAGCCAGAAAACAATTCATTAAAAGCATTTATTGGTAAAATGTTCTATGATTTCTTTATGAGTTACAAAATGCTATATAGATCTGTATGTTCATATAGTCAGATTTAATTCAGGAATATAAGGGAAAGAGTTCTTTTTATAAGACCACTTTTCACTTTATCTGCCACAGATGGAGCAGCATACTGCATGGGCCGTATGAATTCTGACTGCTGGTAAGTTTGCTTCTATCAGTGTAACATTTGGAACAGTATAAATCTATTATACCAGTTTAGAATATATTTTTCTGAAATGCATTTTTTAAAACAGGTACTTGTATACTCTGGATGTCCCAGAGAGTCGAGTAATCAATCAGCCAGATCAAACATTGGAAATTCTGATGAGCGAGCTTGATCCAGCAGTTATGGACCAGTTCTACATGAAAGATGGTGTTACTGCAAATGATGTCACTCGTGTAAGTCTTGAATTATGCACACACATATATATAATTTGTTTTCTATTTACATACAATATGTGCTTAATGAACAGCGTACTGTCGGGATCAATAAAATTTACTTCTCTTTCAATTAATTTAATAGTCAAAAATTTGTATTGTTTCTGTGAATCCGTTCCCCTCCTAGGGATCTGTTTCAGAACCACAATCTCTTTTCCTTTATATTGTAATGGGTCATCTCTTACCCTTCTCAATATTTCATCTCTTATTGATTTTTTCACAAATCTCACATGTATCTCCCTAGGGACATAGGCATAGCTCAAATGGATTCTAAATATTTCATCACCACCACCACCCCACCTCTTGTTTCCCTATCTCTAGGGCACAACAACTCTATAATATATTCCAGAAGATCATCTTTATCTTCATATATGTTCTGAAATCTTAAAAAGTGTGCTACTTTTTCCATTTCTAAAACTATTGACTGTATCTTCCATATTGTATCAGTCTTTGGTTTATTCTTCCATTTTTTGTTCTGCTTCTGATTTTGTCCTCTATTTTCTGTATTCTTTGTTCATTTTTTGTTTGTTTTCGGGAGTTTCTAACAAGTCCTATATATAGGTTCAAGAAGATCTTGAGGTGGATTCCTTTCTAATCTAATCTTTGTATACCATATATTTTTAGTAATGACTTTTTTGACATGTTTATTGTTTTATATTTTATTGTGGTATACCATCCATGTCACTTCTTGTGAGATGGTTAGCCATATAAATTTGATAAACAAATTCCTTTGGAAAGTTGATACATATAGTCCTTGAATTACAACCATTTGTTTAGTGACCATTTGAAGTTCAACAGCATTGACAAGTGATTTTTGACCATTTTTCATATTTATGACCATGGCAGCATCTCCATGGTCACATGATCAAAACTAGAATGCTTGGCAACTGGTTCACATTTATGATGTTGACAGTGTCCCAGAGTTATGTAATTAACCTTTTGCGACCTTCTGACAAGCAGTCAATGGGGAAGCCAGTTTCACTTAATAACCTTGTTGCTAACTTAACAACTGCAGTGATTCATTTAATGACTGCAGCAAGAAAGATCATAGCAGTAGAAATTTTGGACTCATTTGTGGTTGTAAGTCGAGAACTACCTGTACCATCTGCCTTTCGGCTCCATAAAGATAGAGTTACATAGTCCAAATTTGAATATATTCCAAATTATGGTTTTTTTTAGCATGCTAAAATATTTTCTTGACTATAATTCATGGACTAAAACATAAGGTTTTTTGTGAGAGGAGGGTAACTTCAAGTCAATGTTGACTCCTGGCAATTGCCTAGACATTTTGGGGGGTAAAATTTCTGAAGGTGTTTTTCATTCCTTCTCTTTCTATGAAAGACTGCCTGTCGTAGTCACCCAGCTGGCTTTGTGTCAAAAGTGGGACTATAATTTCCAGACTACCAGTTTTTACTCTGATCCTTTAATCATTACACCAAACTATTCTGTAAGTTATAGTTTAACCTAAAACAAATAAATCAGTTGAATTAAAGCAGTGAATGACTCCAATCTTCTAATTAAGTAGTGCTCTTATTTCAGCTTTACACTATCAAAACTGGTATTTTTTAAGCATTAGTTTCTAGTTCAGTTTGATTTTTTAAAAATCTTCTGGTAAAATACAGAAGCAGCATTAAATTATCAATACAAGAATTCTAACTATTCTAAAGCTGTGGAGCAATTAAAGCCTTCATGTCAGATGCACTTTTAGTTTACTATTGTTTTGCTTTGACAAGAGTTACATCTATACATATAGAAAAGACCTTGGTTGGAATTTTATTACATATTTAACAACTACATTTACTTTTTCTTATGCTTTTTTCTCTTTCACTTCATTGCCATATTCATTTTATATAAACATGGTTTATGCAATTCAAAATTAACAAAATACCTAAAAGGGAAAACAGTGTTCAATACTTAACTCAGAATATTAGCTGGAACAATGTTTAATGTTTCCTTAAATATTTAATAATGAAATGCCTGTAATAAAAGCAAAGAGTAATGATAAAACCAAATATTTTTTTAAACGAGCAAAAGATGGTAAAACTGAGCAATAATTTTTAAAAAAAGGGCACACTATTCAGAAGGGGCTTCAATCACCTTAATAAAGAGCCAGATCTTCAGGACTGTGAAAGAACAATATGTGTCTCAGATGGGACCTCATTATCTTGAGAGAATAAAATTTTAGTAATTTGGATGAAAAATAACTATGGTAGACATAACATGAATGTTCTGAAATATTCATCAGTATGAATCTTCTTTATTTTATAGGTGAGTGGAATTCGTGACCTGATACCAGGTTCTGTCATTGATGCTACAATGTTCAATCCTTGTGGGTATTCAATGAATGGGATGAAAACAGATGTGAGTTTGATATTTTTTTTCTAAATTCCATTGAGTATTTGCATAAGCAATGTAACTACATTAAAATACTAACATAGGTTATTTATTTTGCTCCTCTCCAGGGAACTTACTGGACTATTCACATCACTCCAGAACCAGAGTTCTCATATGTTAGTTTTGAAACAAACATAAGTCAGACATCCTACGATGACCTAATTAGGAAGGTCATAGACATTTTTAAGCCAGGAAAATTTGTGACAACTCTCTTTGTTAATCAGGTAAATATATTTTATTTTGGGAACATTGGATTGCTCTTTTTGATATGTTTTTTAAAAACTCTTAAGTTACATAATTGAATAATTATGTTTAGTTTGGGAGTAGAAATCATAACCAGTCCCTATCCATACAGAAGTAAGCAAATAACTTAATCTGTAATAGTTAATGGGAATCACCCATCCTCCAGTTGACTAACATCTTTATCAATTAAGGGAAAATAGTTGAATTTCATTATAACAGACTTACTTGGCATACGTTTCTATTGCTATAGCCACCTCATTTAATGCAATCCTTATAAATTTATATATGGTAAATGTTATGCAACCACTAGTAATTCTGAGATATAAATTTGAGGCATATGCATTCTCAATTATTACATATCTTTAAGATAGATGATTTATGGTAATAGAGCTGCTCTATGGGATAGTACCTACAGTTGTTTCCACCATAACCAGTTTCTCGGAAATCAACAGTAGCTGCATAATCACTGTATTCTGATGTAAAATTTACTATTTTGAAGTTACTTAATGTAATTTTCTGATTTTGAATAATTCTTGTAAAACCATAAGTTGCTGATCTTCTTTATGCAATTGATTTGTGAAAGGGATCATCTCAATTTTACATATCCAGAAGATTGCTGCATATAAATTTAATAAGTAGTCAAGTGCATATATCTTTATATTCTTCTTGTTTATTAATGTGGTTGATCTGTATTTCTTATTCATATTTTCTAACAGATATATAATTTGTGGTTTTGGGAAGACCTGCTCAATTCTTACTGAGTTCTTAATAGTGTTAATCTCTCAGATACATTATTTTATACTGGTTTTCCTGGTTTCTATAATTCCTGAGTTTAATTGTTAAATCTATGTTAATTTCATTTTTAAATTATCCTTTTCATCTGTCACCATTGTGGAAATAACATATACTTTCAAACTGGTTTTATTTGCTACTCTATTTTTTGTTCTACATAATATTATCAATCTCAACATTATTTGTGAAACTTTTCTTAACTTGTTCCCACACATTTATTCTCTTGTTTTCTTTCAAATAATTATACCTACCAACTGTGGTTCTTGTCACTCAGCTCTCAAACTGAGATCTTATATAGAATTTCTTATAAAGAAATTTCTACACATTGTAATATTCCAAAGCTGATTTTAAATGTTTGATTAGTTTTCTCTTAAGATTTTAGTATCTTTCCTTTCTTTTAGAGCTCAAAATGTCGCACCGTGTTTTCTTCAGCCCAGAAGATTGAAGGTTTTAAGCGTCTTGATCGCCAGATTGCCCAGTTTAATGACTACAACTTCGTTTTTACCAGTTTTGCCAAGAATAAGCAGCAAAGTTGATTAGGAGGAATGAAGAAGAAAAAACGCAAAAATATACCCAATAGAGATGGTGGTGGTTGCTTTCTAGTAAATGATACAAGGGGCCATATTTTTCATATCCACCTTGTAGTTGCAGAAAGCCCTAGATGTAATCATAGTATAATTTTCAATTGTATGCATTATTATAACAGAGTTTTAGATATATTGCATGAACACTCTCTTCTGTGTTTAGATATTCTATTTCACTTTTGCCGTGAAACTGAAGCGCATGTAGAAACATTTTACTGTATGAGACTCTACAGCATTTATAAAAACGATTCAAATAGGTTTACATGCAACATAGTTTTTCTCCAAGTATCACCAAAAATTCCCCACAGACAAGGATTTCGTCCTCATTAGAATTTCCCCTAGATTTACTTAACTAAAAGACTTAGCTGCTAATTTTTTTTCATTTGTATGCTGTAACAAATTTTAAAACAATTATTGAATGTGTGGTTTCTAATTGGCACGTTTTTACAACTGAATGACAGATTAAAACTCATAGTTTAAGATGTTGAAACTGATACTGGTAGAACAAAACTGGTTATTCTTAATGGGATATTTTCACTTTAAAGATATCAAACAATTTTTATCACATTGGATCTGCATACAATTCTACAATGAATTGAAGTGGCAATTTGCTGTGGTTAGCACATTACCTTTTCACCTATGGGTGAAAATATATTTGTTTTTTGTCAACATGTTACTTTTGACAGTTGTGTAATTTTTGGCAAACCCATTCTTGCTCCATGTCCTTTGTTTAAAGGCAACCCATAGCAATTGGTGGCAGTCATTGGACATCTGTTTTAAGTATATAAACAAAAATTTGACAATTAAGGTCACAGTTGATTACAGGCTTTTCACAGAGTTCAGTTGCAGTTTTGGCATCTAGGAACTTAATCGGTTAGGAGATTGGTGCGCTTCATGGTAATTTTAACAGAGAAATTTGGTAGAAAACGGTGATTTCAAATTACTGCACAAAATAGCTGCCATTTCTTACTGTGAAATATGCTGGCTCAAATATTAACTTTATACTAATTCAAACACAGGCCCTTCCACTCTGTAATGTCCTGTGACAACAATGCATGTGATGTTTAAGCTAAATTTAGCAATATTGTGAATTCATCTGTGTTTCTTCCTAATTAATATGCAGTTCTTTTTTACATGGTGTAGAAGGCATTGGGTGATTTCACTGCAGTAAGCAAATATGAGGAGCCTAAATACAGTCATGTAAAACATTTATATGTAGTACATTAGTAACAAAATAGACATGGATATTGCTTCATGGATATTAAACGCAAGTTCCTGAGAGAGCATGTTCAGTCACCTGAAATGCTGTGGGAATATCAGCTGTTGAGACCAGCAAATCTTATAGATGTGTCATTCTAATCCTTGGCTATGTTTTTGATTATGAGTGCTTTCTTCCTTTTGTATTCATAAAGGAAACATTTTTAGTGTTTCTATGTTACTTGCTTGGAAATCAAGCAATTGGAACATTTTTTTCCTACCAAAATCAATAAATGTTGTTTCTGTGTAGCACCTAGCAGTTTATGGTGCTTTTGCTTTTTAAGGGCCAATTTTTCAAATGTTTTTATAAAGAGTACTCCAAGTCAATAGCACTCTTTGACTTGAGATCTGTTCGACTACAGATTCCTTGAAGTAATGCTGGAAATGCAAAACTTATACATAAGCCTTGGATAGAAATAAAGCAGTTCAATGGATCTTCATGAATTAGTAGGCTGAACAAAATGGGAGGGGGATATGTTTGGTGTTTAAAATTATCTCTGGTGTTAGACATGGAACATTAAAATGTACAAAGATATATCTGTACCAGAAATCATAATGCTTCAATAAAAGTTTGCTTTCTAAGCTGTCACAAATAGTAAAAATGCTACTACCCTGACTTAGATAATTCTGCTTTGTGTTTCTAACAACAAAGCCTTGATACTAATTAACAGATGTTACCTGTATTTTCTCAATAGACCCTTTGTGCTACTGAATGCCAGGGAGATTCAAGAAGATTAAATCTACTGGAAATGATATTCTTGTTAATCAAACTAGAACTCTGTTTCTATTCAATGATAAAGCATGATGATTAAGAATGAAAGCTGATATTAAAGATCTTTAAAAGTCTCTCAAATTGTAATACTGTATAATCAATGTTAGAATGTTGTAAAACTTCATGAGATTTTTATTCCCCTCTTTAATTTTAAAGACTGGTTTATTGTTCAGAGATGAAAATTCCTAAAATCTTCAAAGCTGAATTTATAGATATGCCATATCTTGGAGAGGGAACAAAGTCTTACGTGTTCTACTGCTTATTTTTTACTTACTATAACATTTTAACTTGGATTAGTCTACATTCGACTGTGTAGCTCTTGGCTTTGTGCCCTTATGTATGAATTTCTGTTTACAAATCTTACAGACTATTCCAATCAGAACTGTGTGGTATGCTCAGGTTTGCAGTTGGCTTTTACAATATTATAACTTCAAAATCCATAAATTTTCATGTAATTGTATTCCATCTGAAGTCAGTAATTAGGACTTCAAGAGTGGGTTGTTGTTGTTTTTAAAAAAGAGCAAAGCAGCACATCAAGTAGGAAGCAAAACTCAATGAGACAGACCAAGGTTGGTGAAGGTATTCCCCAAATAAATTCACCATTGACCCACCACTCCCATTCATCTCAAGGCACATGTTTCTACCCATTCATGAGCTGTGAGGCATACCAGATGGGGAAAGAGATGTGAGATTTATAGGGGTGGCAAAAGAATGAATGACTCTAAGCATGATTTTAAAAATGCAGTATTGCAAAAAGCATTGCTTTCTTAAAGATAGTATACATTGGTAGGTCCCTATTTTTAGATCTTTCCACCATATGTTAATGGAACCATATATAATTGACGGATTATTTGTCGTCTGAACTAAATTTCTTGGATAACAGAAAAATGTCGCTAAGAGCCTCTTGAAGTGTGGTCATGTGATTCGGGGGGGAACTGACCATTGAAACTTCAGAATCAGATTGTAAACCCTGTTTTCCAGATAGACTGTAACTTTGGTCATTAAGTGACAGCTATAAATCAAGGACCACCTTCAAGTCAACATGATGGCTGATGTATCTACAAATCTGACCTCAAAACCAAGAATTTTTTTCTTTAAATGACAATTTGCAATGCTTATACAGAATCATGTTCATCTATTAGGCCATATATAAAAAACTTAGATATGATAAGACAGACTAAACAGTTTATCATATAAAGCATATATGATAAACTGGATGCAAAACTTAAAGACCAAATAAAACAACAGGAAGAATTGTGGAACAAATCAATATTATTTACACACACTCTTTTAGAGAAAACAGATATAAAATGTTTTACAGATGATACTCAACCCTGTCAATAATTGTTAATAGACAATTCCTATATGGTAGTAATATATGCCAGAACTATCATGCAACAGAAGGAACACCCAAAAGTATTGGAAATTGGAAAAAAACATATACTGCACAATTCAGAGAATCTTAAGGAACAAATTGGAAGTTAAATCAATTTTTTCCTGAGTTAAGTATAAGTTCACAACATAATAAAAAGATTTTACTATTTTTTCAACTGTTTCCACCCTTTTTTCATTACTGGCACATAATTTTTACATGTTCCGATGAATCATTTCAGTTACTGCAGCCTTCCATCCTTCTGAGTAAAATGAGGGCCCAGATTGTTGAGGACAATATGCTGACTGTAGACCACTTAGTGTAAAGCACTATAAAGTGGCATGTGAATCTTAAGTGGTATTGCTATTGTTCATAATCAGTTTTTGCGATATTGCATGAGCTGAGTATATATGACATACTATTTCTTCTGCCTCTGCACAATCTGCAATTTGAATCATTTGGTCATCTTTTTCAGTTCTAGCCTTGGCTGCATTGGTTCAAATAATTTGCTTTTGCACAGCCAAAATCAAGCTTCCAGTTTCTCTTTTTAATGTTCCAATTGTAAGCCATTGCTAGGTTTTATCTTTATCCACTTTCCCCTTGATCTTTTGTAGAAATAGACCATGTAATGCTTTTCCTTCCCTGCATTTTCTTGTTTGTATTACATTATTTTGATATTTATGTTTTATTTCCTGCACATTCAATAAGTTTCAATTTTTAATTTACATTGGTGCTTGTTATTGATTTTTACATAATCAGCCAATCCATGCTTTTTTTTCTTGGACATTTTGACCTGAAGTAAACTTCTGCCTCCATTTCTGCAGGGCAGGTATAATCCATATCATAGTGGATATGTAACACATGGTTAATACTCATTAGCTATTTCCAACCGAATTGTCCAGCTGTGTTTCCAGTTAATAATTCCAGCAATGATTATATCACAAGTATGGTCCAGGCTTACAGCCATACTGTTTTTACCATTCTATTTTATTTTATTTTTAAATATATATTTAAAAAATACCGGTAAATATAAAAAATGATAAAGCCGATCACTTTGTCGTAGAAAGTGTCAGCTATGCAACTGCAATAGTACTTCTCATCCCTAGTTAGTGATGCTAATGGGTAGATATTCTCCACCCTAATACGTTTACAGCAAATTTCTTACAACAAATCACTGTTAAAGCAGATTAAACTGATTTATAAAGTGATTTTGCATAAATAAAATAGGACCATAATGCTGAACCTACGGTGGGCATGCAAGCCTTCACCCCAGCTTAGCTCCACACATGTGTGCGCACTTCCTGCTGGCCAGCTGATTTTTGGGTCTGCTGTGCATGTGTGGGGAGACGCACTTGCATTCACAGGGGGGAAGGGGTGCATGGTGCCCCCTCCCGTGGTCCATTTTTGGTCCCAAAGAGGCTGCATGGAGACCTACTAGGCCCAAACCGGTGCCGGGTGGTGTCCCACACACATTGCACCATGGGTGCGGGCACACTCGTGTGCGCTGTCACACAACAAAAAGGTTAGCCTCACTGTGATAGGATGTGGGAACAACAAAAGTATAAATCGTAGGACAAAGTTAGAGGGAAGTATTTTTTTTTGAAACCCTCAACCACCATTCTCTAAAAATTAAAATCTGGGAGGCTGCTTCTGATTGATGGATTAAGTGCCACAAAATATCGCTGACTCAATGACCATCGAAAGTGATGCTCTCCATCATCTGTCTTTAGCCTAGTCCTTCAGCTATTCATTAGTACTGTAACTGAGTCCATCCACCTTGCTGCTTGGTCGTCTTTTTCTTCTTCCCTCCACCTTTCCCAGCAACATCGTCTTCCCCAGAGAGCTGACTCTTAACACGATGTGTCCATAACTAGGATAATTTAAGCCTAATTCATTTCCATTTCGGGGGGAAAATTCTGGGCTAAGAGACGCTTCTACCCAATGGTAAAAGAGGGAAAAGCCATATTGGCAGGTGAACTCGAGTGCTTCGGCTACTCTACGCACTAGGCACTTACACCACTACCACCCCCGGCGAACTGATCCACTGTTTCCCCAATATAGACTAAGTCGTGAAGAAGTCGCGTTTAAAAACCAGGCTGCTGAGTTCGAGGTTCGCGCCACGACCCATAACACAAAACTAGCCCTTCCGGCCGCCTGGCGGCGCTTCTGCAGCAAAAGACGCGAGAGGTTTCAGCTGAGATGGCGGCGGCGGCGTCACGTGAAGCCGGCGGAGGCCCTGGTAGCATGGAGGCGGCGGATGGGACACAGCAAGAGGAAGAGGTCGAGGTGGGTTTGCCGAGGGGAAGAGCCCAGGGGGATGCGATCGTTGCAAGATGCCTCTCAACGGCAACCGTCGGGGAAGGAACTTTCTCTCGTTCGGGATTGCCGAGTCTTGACGATGTAGCGGGGGATTTCGCTGCCTGCGGATTGCTCTCCAGCCGGTGTATCAACAGGGGAGACTATTTGTAGCTCAGGGTTGAAATGAGGGGTCCTTGATGCTCGCTGAGCTCGCTGATTTCCTTGCAGACGTTTCATTACTTGAACTAGGTAACAACATCAATGCTACGATGTTACCTGGTTTGGGTAATGAAAAGTCTGCAAAGAAGCACAGAGCACAGCAAGGACCTTTCGCTTTTGAATGTGTTATGCGCATTCATTAATGGAACACAACACCTGCAGCAGAATGAGAGCGCCCGCCAGCCTGTTTATAGGCTGACTTGCTTTTAGGGAGGGAAAGAAGGGGATCTTCAGCCTAACGTGAATCCCCGCCTCAGTGTAAGCTTCACTTCACCCATAAGGAGGCGCTGAGGCTCTTAGTACTGCTGCCTATCGTCCTTGTTTTGAGCCGTCTCGGGCAGTTGAAGAACTCCAGCTTTTCCCAATTTGAAGTCCTCCAGATGTTCTAGACGTCGGTTCCCATAAGCCTTAACCAACATTGCTGGCTGGGCCTTGAAAACGCGACATCTGTTTAGACAACAGCTGCTTGATTCGATGTGCGATGTGAATTCTTTTCTACAGCTTGGGAGGAATCTGGATCTGATGAGATCTAGCCCTTTTCCCTTTGGAAAAAAAAGGGGGGGGAACACTACTTAAGATATAAATATCATTTAATGTGCATTTTATTTCATTACACGAGGAAAAACTGAAGGAGAGAATAGTATGTATGCTAACTTGGGCTCCTGGAGGAAAGAGGTTATATAAAGTTATCAATTGTGTACTGTCAAGTTGTTTTTGGCTCCTAATAACCATATAGAAAGGAACATGGTGGCTCAGTGGCTAAGACGCTGAGCTTGTCGATCAGAAAGTTTGGCGGTTCAAATCCCTAGCACCGGATAACGGAGTGAGTTCCCGTTACTTGTCCCAGCTCCTACCAACCTAGCAGTTCGAAAGCATGTAAAAATGCAAGTAGAAAAATAGGAACCACCTTTGGTGGGAAGGTAATAGCGTTCCGTGCGCCTTCAGTGTTTAGTCATGCCGGCCACATGACCACGGAGATGTCTTTGGACAGCGCTGACTCTTCGGCTTTGAAACGGAGATGAAGACCGCCCCCTAGAGTCGGGAACAACTAGCACATATGTACGAGGGGAACCATTACCTTTACCTTTTAACCATATAGATCAGGGGTCCCCAACCCCTGGGCCATGGCCCACTACCAGATTGTGGTCTATTCGAAACGGCTGTGCAAGAAGTGGGCTGATGTGCACGTGGATCTCTACTTGTGCGGGTAGTAGGCCAGAATGCACATGCACTTCCATTCATGCAAACCTGGTCCACCACTCGCTTGGCCAGATCCCGCCCCCCCGAGCCAAGACAGCTTACTTGGTGGCATACATTACTTTCTACGTTGTTTTTTTCCCCAACAACAACCCTTTGGAATAGATCTGGAAGAGAGAGAGCAACTATCTACCAGTGTCCTTTACAGTGTCCAAGAAGAAAACAGAACCTGGATTCTCTGGTGCTAATTCCCATACCATATTAGCTCATTTGGTTATTTGGTGACGAGGGCAAACCAATATCAGAGGATGACAGAAATAACTTCTACAGTATTTTACATTTGGGTGAAATGGTAGAGAAAACATTAGATGGCTGCTTTTTCATAGTGTCAGAATCATGCTTAAACACCCATATTCCAACAATGTCTGTGACAATAATGTATATTTGCAAATGGGTATATATGCCAGGCTAAAAGATTGAGCTGTTAAATACACTATTTACAATGTTTTGTAATTTTCCCTCTAGGAACAATTAGTTGTGGTAGAATTGTCTGGAATAATCGATTCAGACTTTCTGGAAAAATGTGATAATAAATGCAAGATTTTGGTGAGTGTTTTTAACATAATACAAATTAATGTATCTTTTTATTAAAAAGTACAGTTGTGATTCTATTCAAAATCTTTTAAAATGGCAGGAGTTAAGCTACTATATTTGTTTCTTGCTTAACAGAATGGGCACAAGCGTGATCTTTTACTCAGCCTTTTTTTGCTTCTTACAACAAACATTCATTGCAACAGAACACATGCTTCCATTCCTTACAACAGACCACATCTTAAAATCTCTCCATACATTTTCCTGTGCTTAATCAACATTCTACTGAGTACACAAATTCATGTTCTTAATTTAGATTTTCCCATTACCACTTGTAGTTATTTTCATGCTATTTTCCTTATCAAACAGAGCTAGCTTGGTCTTAGATACATTGATTTCCAGATCCATGTTCCTTATTACAAGTTATCTAATATGTGCTGCAAAACAGTTTGGCTGTCAGCCAACAAATCAGAATAATTTGTATACAAAAGTATATATACAATATGTTCACCAACCAACATATGTCTATTATTACCACAAGTATTAAACATTTATCCATATTGTACAACCAAGGGAACAGCATGTATCTTGGCCCTACTCTCTGTTTTATGATTTACTAAGTATTTTCTTTATTCTTATGGATGCTTTCCTTGTATATGCCATTGTTATTGCATTTGGCAACCAACCTGCTAAAGCATTTTATAATTGAAACCTGTTTGACATTGTTTTTCTATATTAAAATATACAGCAGTTTTTTGCTATTTGTAGATTTCTTGGTGCCTTACAGAAGAACAAAATATTTTGCTCTGCTCACTTCCTATTTGTTAAACTCAAATTTAGCTTATTGTCATCCCAGTTTGGTTAGAAATACTAAAGACACAACCAACAGCCCATTTTATCCAAGCTTGTTCATTCTAAAAAGCATATTCAGGACACTGATGAATACTCATTTTTGCATCTTGGAGCGAAGGGAGAGGACGCGACAAGAGGTGTAGCAAAGCAGTCCTTTATTCAAAGCATAGTAACTACGATTCAACGCGGCGTGGTTCGCGCCAAACATTTATACCCC